TATAATGTATTTAAATCTCTTTATGTCTCTGTTTAGGAAATAAAGTGAAAGGTAAATACTTTGTATTGAGCCTTTAGGGTTCTTGTATTTTCTTATTATCAAGCTAATAAAACTTTCCTCTCACCCATGGAGTAGGCAATTTGTCAAATTACGTAAATCCTATGTGTTAATAATTTTTTTAGCTTTATCTTTTAATTATTACCTATCATTATTTGTCTTGTTTTCACTATTTATCATAATAAACTAGTATCGAGCATAGGTTGTGCATCTTTGGGTTTTTACGTTTGTAATGGCGGCTACGAAATTTGATGTTTCATATTTTGATGATCAAGATAATTTTGATATATAAAGAATAAAGATTTAAGCTTTGTTGTGGCATGAAGATTCTGTCAAGGCAATTGAGGGTATATACCCTTATGACATGACTTCGCCAAAATTGAAGAGATGGATGAAAAGGCTCAAAGTGCTCTATAATTATCATTATCGGAAAAGGTACTGCTAGAAGTCTTAGATGAAGAAATAGCGGTAGGATCTGTGGAAGAAGTTGGAAAGCCTATACATGAAGAAATCTTTTACAATAAGATTGTATTTGAAGCGACATCTTTATACACTAAAGACGCAAGAAATTACGTCTATTCATGAACACCTTGATGAATTCAATAAGATTGTTATGGATATGAAAAATATTAATATTAAACTTGATGAAGAAGATCAAGCTCTTATTGTATTGTGTTCATTACCTGCTTCGTATGAGAATATTGTTGATTCAATGTTGTATGATAGAGAGTTCATAACTTTAGAGGATTTTAAGGCTTCTTTGAATTACGTTGAGTTGAGACATAAGTGAATGATAAAGTCGTTGATAGTCGGGTTGATGATTTGTTAGTAAGGGAAAGACAAAAGGATAGAGAGGATTATAAGTCTATATCACTCTTGGATAAGAAAAAAAATATTGAGTGTTGCTACTATCATAAGAAAAGGTATTATAAATCGGATTGTCATCGCTTCTAAGGAAGAAGAAAAAACTACGGGGTCAAAGTTTTAAGTTTGCTAATGTGACAAAAGCTACGATGTTGATGCCACTAAAAATGTTCTTGCAATATGTCCACTAGATGATCGTTTTAACCAAGAATGGATTTTGGATACAATTGTTTCGTAACATATGTGTCCAAATAAAGAGTGGTTTACCACTTATGAACCTATAAGTGGAGGTCTGTGTTCGATGGACAACAATTTAGCTTATGAGATGAGCTGGTATTGTTACAATTCGTATCGGGTGTCATGATTCGATTGTGAGGACTTTGACGGAAGTGAGACATATACTAGATTTGAAGAAGAATTTAATTTCTTTAAGCTATCTAGATTCGAGAGGTTATAGCTACTCCGGTAATATGGAATTCTTAAAGTTTTTAAGGGTTCCTTGGTTGTGATAAAAACAACTTAAATTAATCGTCTCTATATCTTACAAGGTAGTATAGTAACAAGCTCTGTAGGAGTGATTACTTCCTACTCTAAAAATGAAAGGACTCAATTATGGTATATGTTTCTAGGCTATACGAGAGAGAGAAGTATGACTACTCTAAGTAAACATGGTTTGCTTTGTGATGATCAAATGACATCACTTGATTTGTGTGAGCATTATGTTGTAAGAAGCAAACTAGAGTATAGTTACGTGTCGGCACTCATTCTACAAAGGACACACTTGATTACATTCATTCAGATTTATAGGGACCAGCTCAAGTTCCATCTAAAGGTGGTGCATTTTATTTTTTGAAATTTATGATGATTACTCTCAAAAGGTTTGTGTCTATTTTCTCAAACATAAAAGTTATGTTTTCAAAACCTTCAAACAATGAAAAGTTCAAGTAAAGAATCAAACAAAAAAAAAAAGGTTAAACGTCTTCGAACAAATAATGGCTTGGAATTCTATGGTGAAAGTTTTAATGAGTTTTGTACAAACTGCGGGATTATCCGAGCATCGCATATTTAGACACACTCCTCGGTAAAATGGAGTGACGAGAGCGCATGAACGAGGACTTTGATGGAGAGAGCTAGAAGTATACTCTCTCATTCGGGCTTGAAGAAGGATTTTTAGGCTGAAGCAATTAACACAACTTATTATCTCATCAACTATTCTCACTCTACTTGCTATTGATTGTCGGACTCTAAATGAGGTATGGTTAAGTCAACCTAGTAATTATTCAAATTTAAAAGCATTTGGATGCCCTACTTATTATCATGCTAAAGATGGTAAACTTGAACCTAGAGTAAAGAAATACGTATTTGTTAGCTATGTTGATAGGGTGAAAGGTTATCATCTATGGTGAACCCAATTCATCTAAATTAATTATTAGTAAAGATGTTACTTTTAATGGGAAATTTATGCTTGATTAAGGAAATGTTGTGTGTGAGTCTACGGGAAAGAGTGAGAAAGTGTAGATAAGGTGGAGCTTCGAGTGAAGTTTAAAAGAAAGACTCCTAAAAAACCATCCCCATATGTCTCCCCGACAATTATAGATGTGTAACAAGATTCGGATATGAATGAAGATACCAAAGAAGCTAAGCAACCATACTTAATAGCTACTGGTTGAGAGAGGAGACGAGATAAGACCTTCTCAAAGATATGCTTATGCTGATCTAGTAGCCTATGCCATCATTGAAGCTAAGACAATGGGTATTCGAGAGCTTTCTACCTATAAAGAGGTAGTGATTTGAAAAGAAAGGCTCGATTATGTGAAGAAGAGAGGCATGGTCGTATGAGTTTTCTTCTTTCTCTCGTGTTTTATACTTATACTCGAGTGAAGCACTTGCCTTGTGCCCATGTGCCTTGAACATTTGTCTATGCATGTTAGGGCTTTGTTGGAGAGAAGGAATTTGTTAGTCCTAATGTTAAAGTCAATATTTTCTCTTTTCACATCTCTTGTTTCTTACATTGATTTAACTCACATAAGCTTAGAGGTGTGTTTTGAAGAATTATTTGATATTCTTAAAGGTTTACGAATTCAAGCCAATGTGGAGATTTGTTGTGTGTGGCTTAAATTTTATGGACTAATAATATATTCAGCCTATTAGGTTTTTCCTTTATAGGTATAGGTATCTAAACCTCATTATGTCTCTATTTAGAAAATAGAGTAAAAGACAAAGACTTTATATTAAGCCTCCGGGGTCCTTGTATTCTCCTGCTATCAAGCTACTAAAACTTTCCTCTTTTCCGTGGAGTAGGCAATTTACCGAACCATGTAAATCTTATGTATTGATAATTTGTTTAACTTTATCTTTTGATTATTATCTCGTCATTGCTTATCTTATTTTTGTTGTTTTTCATAACATAAGTTTTTTTTAAAAAAAAATAAATTGAAAAAAAAAACTTAGCAATGGTTTAATAACCGTCGCTAATTACAATGCAAAATTTGGTCATATTTAACGAAAGTTTATAAAAACCGTCACCAAATTGTCACTATCACTACATTCATGATTTAGTGAATAATCAAGAAATTATGGTTGAGTATTTTTTATCCAAGAATCAAGTTGTTGATATATCTCCACAAAGTCACTTAAAGCTGATTTGTTCTTAAAGTTTAAAGAGATGATATACATAAAGAAATTTGAAGAACTTGGTTTAAGAAAGGATGTTGGTAATTAAACCAAGTTTGGCTAGAATTAGAATTGGTATTCTAAGTTGAGTCAGTATCCTAATCTATGAGTACAAGATCGAACTAGATCGGCTAGAAACATATATAAATATACGTTGCTACCTAAGTAACAGAGGTAACAGAGACAATAATAATTTTAAAAAAAAACTTGAGTTCTTTCGTGTGTATGCAGGTTTTGTCTTATTTGTATTAAAAAAGATTGAGTTACAACTGGATATTTCACTGGCTTGTGAAAACCGCTATTGCTATCTAGTCTTTAGCTCATCCGGAGATAACTTTTTTTTTTTTCCGTTTTTAGTTATAAAATAAATAAATAAATAAAGTTTTGTGATGAATAACCATTATCAATTTTCTATATTATTTATGTAATGTTTATTTATTGGATATGGGATAAGTTTTATAATACCATTAATGCATTTACTCTTTTAACCGCCCTTTAGCTATGTTTGAGTAACCCAGTTGATCACTACAAAAATTAGAAGGAAGAATTGGGAAACAATATGATGTATTCATCTGTATTGCAAATTTAATTTCGTGAAGCACGTACGTGGTGGGAAACAACTACCATGACGGCTTATAGAAACACTCCACGTGAATGTACGGGATACACGTGCATCCAATGAGCTATTATAAATGGAGAGCAGATGCAACACTAAAAATCATCAACACTCTTTGCTCTCTTCCTCATCTGCAAAATTATAAGCTTTCTCACAGGTTGATGTCTTAATCATTGCTAGTGTTTTCCCCTTATTTGGCATCTTTCATTTCCATTGATGTTTCAATAACTAATTCACGGCCTTCACACACACACACAGAGTTGGCTTTTTCGTTCTTCCTACTAACATTTATTGTATTTGGGTTTATTTGTTTTCTTACTTGGTCTTACAATTTAAGACAATTTATTTGTTATCTTGTACTTAAAAAATATGAAATCATTCCAAGGTAATGGTGGTTTTCGGTCATTAACTTTCAAATTTAAAAAAAGTTCACGAAGGAGTGTTTGGCAGTAGGTTAAAGCAGGTTGAATTTTATCCCTGTAAAATCCAAACTTGTTTGATTTTTTTTTTTAATATAAAATTATTTTTTAACCTTATTTAATAGCTTAGGTAGAGATATTTTTTCGACACTGATAAATTAATTTTTTAGGATCCATGAACTCTTTAAAATGATTGAATGTGTTGACTTTGTATGTAATTTGACTTGCACTGTATCTGTTCTTGTTCATGTGGGCTGGAGAGATTTGCTAATGTGGTTAACTGATAAATTAAATCTTGATCCTCTTCACATATTTTCACAGGTGAAAGTTGAAATTTCTTCACACCCATTCTCAAACAGCACGAATTAATCATGAAGGTGTGGATTTTGCAATTGATGGCAGTACTATTATGGGTGGCACTTCATCACCATTTCATGGCAAACGCTCATGACATTTATCCACATCCAGAGCCTAAGCCCATAATCGAACCGAATGCCACCGATGAAGATTGGAAGGTTAACTTTACTCAAGCAAAATCATTGGTCATTACTGGGCTAAATGGTCTCTGCTTGGAAGTATACAGATTCGCACCAAAGTTAGTGACATGCAACGAAAGCGCATCAAAGCAGAGATGGCAATTCCGTACAGATGGTACTATACGGCCGGAAACGGATCCACTCAAGTGCCTGACTGCTAATGAACTCAAAATAAGAGGAATTGTTGTCGTTGTCCAATGTAGCGATAGTTCGTCTGCTTATACAGTTTGGCAATATAGAAACACTGATAGAGCCATTGTGAATGCGGCCAGTAACTTGGTTTTGGATGTGAGTGACTCTAGAGTAACCAGCGATTCGGCTCAGGTATTCATCATTTTTACCAGCCGTGGATCAGCTAACCAGAAGTGGTATACAGAACCACTAAAACTTCAGCTTTCTATGCTCTGAGCGTATCTATTCTGTATCAAGCAGCTCCAATAAGTTAAAAGGCAACAAATTATTGTTGTCTGATAACAAAGTGTGATACTTTCTTATGAGCAGATAGGGCTACGGTTCCCATTGCCTCCTGTATCATGCTAAATTATATAAACAGAATAAAAGCTGCTTTTTTTCTTAAATCGATATATCTATATATTCTTATATAATACTCAAAATCTTTTAAGTATGGTATGACTTCTTTTGTCCAAGATCACAGAATTAAGTCCATAGTTCAACATTGGCCAGGTTTGTCCTTCCACGTCAAAGAATTAGTTCATATAACTCTATGATATGCCGAAAGATTTATTCACACACAATTTTTAGTTTTTTATAATTAATAAAACCCCATGGTTAATTGCAAATCAAATAAATTTAACACCAATCGCAAGAAAATATGGAAAAAAAAATATAAAAAATAAGGGATTATAAAAGAAATAAATCAAAATAAAAACAAATAACGGAAGTGCAGGGGCATAATTACAAAAACCAAAAGTATACTAACCAAAAAGCAAAAAGTGATGATAGAGGATATTTTGGGAATTTAGTTGGATGTTTGATCCAAATTCAGGTATTATAGAAAAGTAAAACTAAGCTATAGCCACTTTCTAGCTTGCTAACTATTCCTTTTAATCAAATTCAACTCCCGCCTTTCAGAAAGAAATTTTTTCTTTTAAGGATATTAGCCTTTTTATCATGAATTGAAACACTCATTTTAAGACAATTTTCAGTTTGTCAATTCGGAGGTTACCTTGATCTATAGACAAAAAGGTTGACTTCTGTTATGCGAATTACAGAGTCAAAGGTTTTACCTATTGGTCGAAGTTGAAAAAAAAAAAAAAGATAATTATTAAAAAAATTCTCTAAAAGAAATTTTTTATTTACAATAATTTAAAATTTATTTTTAAATATCTCGGAATCAAAATAAGATTTTTTTCGATAACATCCGATTGGGTCTTGTTCCTATTTTTATTCTAGACTCTAGATTTTTACTTAGGTCCATTAAAGTTTTGTTCGAACCCATACGAGTTTGTCTCTCGAAAATTGACAATATATCCAAGTCTTATCTTATTTCTGTTACGGGTTTTTTTTTTTTGACCTTGGATTCTACCAAACTATGTGTTGTTGGCATGAGCTGTTATTCCCCTATAATTACGGAGACTTTTTAGGGATTTGCTTACTGTACATATGCTTCCTAATTATGAAACCTTATATTTTACTTCTTAGAATAGGAATCTCTACATGCTATATAAACCTTGCTTTTCTCTTGTACTCTGTATCGGAATATATTGAAAACATACGTAGTTTTGACATGCTATCATAGCATAGATCTCAAACCTGTAGAATCGTAGAAAAACAAAAAAAATTGAAAGCTATGGGAGATCAAACTCTCACGACAAATGCGAAGAGAGAATTCAATTCTTGCAAACCTAACATCTAGAAGATCCTAGATGTTAAAGCAGACACAGATTAGTGAATCATGAAGCAGTCGCTGCACTGATTGACATCAAGTTGGATGACAACAATTATGGCCTTTGGTGGAGATGAACATCTCGAGAAAAGACAAGTTGGGATACATTAATAAAGATTTGTTGCTAGTAGAAGAAATAGATTTGAATTTCAAAAGATTGAGAACATAAAACACAGTGGTGAAGTGATGGCTAATAAACTCTATGGATCCAAAGTTGATCAGCAACTACATCAGATACCCAATGGCAATAATAGTATGGGATGCTATAGCTATGACATATTTTGATGGAGCTGACACCTCACAGGTTCATGATACGAAAAGGAAGGTGATAAGGCTTAAACAGAATGGAGGGGCTATTGGACATACTACAACAATCTTCAAGGCAAATGAAGCGAAATATATTTTTGTTGTCCAATCTAGTGAACTGTGCAACGGACATATAGAGGTACAATTCTATGGTGTAGGAAGATAGAGTTTACAAATTCTAGGATGGATTAGATGATCAGTTGGACAAGATTTGAGGAGATGTGCTTCAAATTACACCAAATCCTGTAGTGGAATAGGCTTATGAACTTGTTCGTAGGGAAGACCTAACGCAAGCAATGATGTTGACAAATGGAGAGATCGAACTTGGTGCTGCTATGATCTGAAAAAAAAGGACAACAGTCACAATAACCTTCATTTCAATTATCATCCGGTGGAAAGTTTAACACACCACCAAGATCATAGCCACTAGCAGGAGTTTTTGGTTCTACACATCGCAGAAATATGAAACATACTAGGGATACATGTTTTAAATTCCATGGATATCTAGAGTGGTGGCAAGAACTCAAAGGAAAGAAGAAACATGAAGTAGGTGCGGTGCACACTGATATAAATCTTGGTCGAGCTGTGTTTATGAACATTAAAAGTCCCTCCCCTGTGGTGGAAAATACTGAACATCACCTATCCCTCATTCCACTAGAGGATTCATCATATGCTGCAACAAACAAATCTATGCCCCTTAATAGTTCAAGTAATAATGTTTGGATAGTTGATTCTAGTGCAACGGATCACATGACATTCAGTCCATAAGATTTGGCTGAAAAACACTCGACCAAAACGAACATATATTGCCAATGCTAATGGAGTGACTTACCTAGTTGTAAGTGTTGGGAGAGTGGATTTTTCACATTTTTTTCATTATCAAATACTCTATTAGTACCACCTCTTTCGAATAAACTATTATTAATCGGACAAGTTACCAAAAAACTAAATTGCTGTGCACTAACATGTCCTAGTTTTTGTTTGTTTCAAGATATTCTCATAAAGGAGATTATTGGTCGTGGTACTAAAAGAAAGAGAAGGGTTGTATTACATGGATGACTTAAGTACTGGCTAGGCAAATAATGTACGAAAAACTAGTGACAAAGAAAGACATATTTGGTTATGGCATCATCGACTAAGACATTCATCTTTTTCATACTTAAAGCACTTATTTCCAAGTTTGTTTTCCAACTTATGTGGGTCATTATTTAAGCACACAACATGCATTCTAGCCAAGAGTCATTTTGTACCTTATCTAATAAGTTTGAAGAAATGCAAGATTTCATTTATGCTAGTTCATTTGGATGTTTGGGGTCTAGCTCCTATTTTAATTTCTTAGGGCATTAGATGGTTTATGTTGTTTATAGATGACTACACATATAATACCTAGTTGAATTTGACGAAAAATAAGAATGAGATATTGGGAATCTTTCGTTCATTTGATAAGACCTAATTTTTGGCTAAACTCCAAATTCTACAATCCGATAACAACGAGAGAATATGAAAATAATGCATTATTAACATATATCCAAGCACATGGTTTATATCATGAGACCTCTTGCTCTTAAACACCATAAAAATAGACATATCCTTGAAACGACTTGAGCTCTTTTCATAGCGAGCACATGCACCACACTACTACTAGGCGAGACATAGTTGTTATTGCTATTTACTTGATGAATCGCATGCCATCTTGAGTTTTGAATTTTGAAATGCCACTTCAAGCTCTTGCTTCCACTATAAATATTTGAGTGAGTAGCATATGTTCACCTCCATAAAAATCAATGGGCGAAGCACGACCCATGTGCTATCCGATGAATTTTTTTTTGGGATAACGACTTATAAGAAAGGTTATCGATGCTATAATCTAACTACCAAGCACTTGTAGGTTACCATGTGATAGAATGCATAAACTCTTTATTTAGTGTATCTATTCTCCTATGATTATGAATTGATTTAAGATGAAATTGGATGTTTTGACGATTGTTTGCCACATGTCGGAAAGGACGAAGTCGTTAGAGTTCCGGTAGGACACAATTGCTGCGAAGCATGCCTTCGTCCATCGACAAAATCGTAATTTTGGAAGCCGAGCGGAATTCTCACGCATGGAAGTTAAGAAAAAATAGGATTTTGCGCTTATCTCCTAATTTGGCCTCTATCTTTTTTAGGCGATTTTTGTTTTTATTCGGAAGGAGTACACATCCTATTAAGTGATGAAGTCTTTTGAGGATTCCTTATAAAGGGGGGGGAGAACCTTTGGGAAGGCATTCGACGTGCAGAGCAATTCCGGACTGACTTGCTCATCTTCAATTCGGCATCTTTCCAAAAGAATGAGTAGCTAAAATCTCCTTCCGAGTTAAGAGGATATAGAGGTTTTTGGTTCAAGATTCATTGTGAGACCTTTATGATTTAATTGTGTCTTTTCTAATAATATCAATAATTTTACGTGTTCATAAGATAAGTATTTTTCTTGATTGATTAGAAGATGTTTTGATTAATTGAGATTGAATTCTTGATGCCAATTGAAGTGTTAGATTCGTATATGTTTAATTATTTCAATATTTGTGGCAATTTAATATGATTAATGAATTGGATTGTTAAGTCATATTAAAGGAAATAATTATTCCAATTTAAACAACTAAGCTAGCGTGTTGTTGATTGGAAATTGATCACCCTTCTCTCTCTTTCTGCTATTATCAATTTAAATCTTAAGACCTTGTTTAGGATTGATTGATTAATAAGAGTTGTGATTGAAGAGTTTATTTCAATCATCGATTGTTAAAGAGGGGTTGGTTTTTAGAGCTTATTAATAATTAGAATCAATTTGTTTTCAAAAGAAGATTTATCTATCCATCAATGATCAATTGAATTGAACCACAACCAATATATCTATCCTTACCGAAAATTTGTTCTCTCCGATTTTACTTCTTTACTTCTTTGTTTTGATTTCCATTATAGCGACCTTATTTTAGCTTGTCAAAAAAAAAAAAAAATCCCATTCTATTTTTATTTATTTATTTTTTTCGGATAAGATAATTAATCAATCCTTGTGGAGTGTGACTCTATTCACCCTATTTACAAAATCCATTTTTGAGAGTAGATTAGTTTATTTTGTTGGAATCAACACCCACCACCATGGATGCCATATTTCTCGAGTTAGAAATGTTCTTTACAACCTAGATTCTTCTTTTCGGAG